CAATAGTTAATGCTCAAAGCCATCGCCTACATTCCGAAGACTTTGATCAACAAATCATAAATTCCTCATGTTAAAGTGCATCCATCATTCCAGGACCATCTTATGACTATTTATTGCCATTTTAGCGTTGAAACATCTTTAGTTTATTTTGTAGGCAAACTTTCATATGGTCAAACTCTATCTGATGTGCTCGTTGATGAAATCAGCTTAAACACTTAACCAATACATATCCAATAGAATCTTTTCTTCTTTTTCCATTTAGAAGTTGAGCTTTTAGCATACAAACTTAGGGTAATCATGCTTGAAATGCTTACATTCAAAATATCTGCAGAGAAAGGCGTGTGGAGTTGTCCAAGTATCTGCTCAAGGCCTTTTCCTCGTTGATATCGAAATGTCTATCTTTGTGTTTGTATGCAAACTTTTACTTTGTGGGTATATATCGCAGCCATTCCTTTGTATATACTCCTTTCTGCATACTTTGTGCGCTTCATAAATTTCATATCTGTCAGAAAATATTTCTTCTAATGAACTACATTTGATTTTTTTTGAAGAAATTGCCTTGTATTTCATAATTTGCATAGTGTGATGTCAATCTGTCATTATCAGAAAATAAGATATGCATGAGCTAACGTTCTGACTATCTCACGATGTAAAAGTGAGTTTAGAGCTTGGCATATCATAAAAGATTTGGAGAAGCCACAGGCTAACGTTATTTTACATCTATCCTTTTAGAGCATAACGAACAACTGCTTTTTGCAAACAAGTAGCTCTACTTCATGCGCAAGAAATTTTGTTGTTTTTTGAATGTTTTTGCTTGCTCTATCACAGCCGCAGCGTTTTCTTGGACAAATTGATCAAAACGAAATTCCAGTATGTTTTGTTGCAGTTAAATACGAAGTAGTTATCATCACGAATAGACAGCAGTATCATAGCTGATTGTTCTTAAAACTTCAAAATCATTGGGGAAAACGATGTAATGGAGTAAGCAAGCGACAAATCTATCTTTGAAGCTTAGAAGCAGTATGAGTTTCATTTTTAGTTGTATTGGCGATGTCTTGGTTGAAAATGAATATGTACATCGCATGAAAATAACAAAATTGATCTTCCATTTAGGTTGGGCTAGTCAAGCGTGTAGGTGAACCCAGATTACCGTGAACAACTATCTATCACTCTTCTTGATTTGTCAGCTTTCTCGTGTTTGTCTTTAACAGCTTAATAATGAGGTTTTGGGGGAAAGGGTAACGGATTATCATAAATGAAAACAAAAATGAACATAGCTAATTCCTCTAAGCATCCTCACAATGATTTCCATTTTGGTACGGAATCGTTTTTGCGTACATGTGCCCTTTGTGGCAGTTCTAACAAGGGAAGGGTACTAAGTGGCCGTGGCTGTTCAGGATGAGATGTATACCAGAAGATTAGTCTTAGAACACAAGTCTCAAACATTCCTTCCTTATCTGCTAAGCAATTCTAATAAGGGAGTTATGGTCTGGAAAAGTTTTACACGATAGTCTTGTAAGGACGTTTATAAAAACGTGCTCCAGTGGGTGTAATGGTAGGTGTGCTGTCTGTCAGAGAAGCCATATAGGTTCGAATCCTAGCTGGTGCAAATTTTGCATTTTTTGTAAAATGCTCTTCTTCTACCAAAAAGCCAATCTCCATCACCATTCTGCTCCTTTTACACTTATCCATGACTTCTTGAAAGATTGGCAAAGAAAGAAAAGATATTTTGTTGAAATTTATCAACAAGCACAATCTACAAACAATTCACAAAGACGGCCTCTTATCAACTCATGCACATATATGATGGTCAACTACGAATCAGCTACAGGCCACCTCCTTCGCTTTCAATGTCAATGCTATTGTACATGGCTTCACGCAGTATTAAAGCGAATTAGCCTACAACATTCTTTCCTTTCTTGTTGGTATGCGTGTTACTTCGCAGGAGCCGAACTCCTTTAGAAGATACGACAACACCAACTTGGGACAGAGCGTTGAGCCGACCATCGTTATCGAATTTACAAACGAAATTGTCGGAAAAGCTATTCTTGACTTATCAAAACCTGTTCACTCCCTTTACAGCCTTATCAAGTACCAACATCATATGTTTTATGTTAACTCACAGTCTTGATTTTACTGTACACAGCCGAGACTAAATACTTAAGCTGTTATCTCTAATTTAATTATAGTTTTGCGCTCCAAGATTAAAGGATTTTTTTTCAATATTCGTGGTATAGTATGCAGCAGGATATCTAGATATCTGGTCATTTTGAAATTCCTGTCTACGTACTGCTTTTCGCCCATCTTGCTAGGCCATTGTGATTTAGCTGGTTGCAGTGAATTGTTTTTTTTTTTTGCGCTGCGCTCATTGCGAGCATCTTCTCAGCTTCAATCATATCGTTGCACACCATCTGAGTTGGTTAAAAGGGTCTTTATGAATTCTTTGTAGATTGTGTTTGAGGTTAATAAGCGCACAATATCTTTTCTTTCTTTGCCGATCTTTCAAGAATGCATGGATAGGTGCATAATGGTGATGGAGACTGGCTTTTTGGTAGAAGAAGAGCATTTTACAAAAATTGCAAAATTCGCACCAGCTAAGATTTGAACCTGCATTACTTCTCCAACAGACAGCACACTCACCACTACACCATGCACACCTTGGGAGACGTCTTTATTGAACTTAAAAAACTACAGTGTAAAACATCGCCGGTCCATAACTTCCTTATAAGAATAGTTTAGCAGATAAGGAAGGAATGCTTGAGATTTGTGTTCTGAGACTAATCTTCTGGTGTACATCTCATCCTGAACGGCCACGGTCACCAGTTTCCTTCCCGTAAGGCGATTCGCTAACTTCTGTTAGAGCGTATGTGTCATTCGATCATTATGCA